TATTTATCTAGATTCAGCTCCACGTGCATCTAGATGTACGTGGACCTGAATCTAGATAAATAACCCAAAAAATTGGGTCGTTTTTGCTTGGGAAGCTAGATAGGTTTGCAAAATTGTTTGTGAACTTTTTATAGGGAGAGTCCAAGATAGATTGTTGTTTTCTTCTTCTATATTCGTATAATATACCATTCGATTTTGCTTTGTCCGAGGATCAAGCATATTCTCTTATTTTTACAAAAAGACGTGATGAAAATGAGAAAAATCAATTTTAAGACCAAAACGATCAATAACGTATACGAAACTTTTACAATGTCTGAATTTTTTTAGGCAGAGGCATACACTTTTTAAAGATCAACATAGCATTAATATAAAGTCCTGACTCGCGCACATTTTCTAGCATAAGGCCCAAGTTGGTTCTTTTTTCCTTTCATTTTTTACAGACGCTTTTCTAACGCCTGCTAAATCCAAGATTTTTCGAAAGTTCTTTTTTTTCTAGCATTAGTTAGACTGGGAATTTTTATCTTACACGTATATCAAAGCTAATTCATAGATAAACAAAATCCAATCAGAAGTAAAGCTTCCTTCTTAATGGCTAAGAAGAAAAAAAGTTTATACTGAGACGGTGTCAAAGTTGACTAAAACTTAATATTTTCACTTTTTCTCAATAAATATAAAGAACTGAATAAAAATCAAAAGATTAAAAGATGCGCTATAAAATTCTCTACAAAATCATATATTCGGTTTGTTGATTTCTTGTGATTTTCAAATTCAACAGGATCCTTTGACTCTATGATCTTCAGAAATCTAAAAGAGAAATTTAGTTCTCAGTTTATTGAAAACTCTGTTCCATAAGAACTGAATCAGATCTTTAGAGAGGCAAAAGAAAAAATTGTTGAGTTCTTGACTGTTTGTATTTTCATGATAACAATGTGTTCTACGATTTAAAAACTACATATAGCTCGATGTTTCTTACAACTAGCTAAAATGACAAGAATAGACAACAGTTATAATCGATAAAGTTTCCGTTTTTCTGCAATGGATTGTGTGCATATTAACACTTTTTTATCAACTGGGTTTTTGCAGCGCAAACATTTTTTTACAAGATGAACTATGGTGGAAGCCTTCAATTTCTTTTTCATAAGTACTAGATCCAAGAAGAAGAAGAATGCTCCCATAGCTCATCTGATAGAAAAATGTTTTCTCTACAAAACCCAGTTGGTAAAAAAATTTAAAAAAAAAAAAAGTACACAATTTCAATCGATGATAACTGGTGCATCCCTAGACAAGACGAAGGTGAGAAGGAACATTTTTGTGTTTAAATAAAGAAAATATTTTAGACAATTCTGTTGAAATCGTTCCTTTTGTTAACGAATCGAAGAATTGACATACAATTGATTTTCAAAATGTGTGTAAATGTTATGAAGCTGAAACTCAAAACTTCGACAAGAAATTTTAAAATAAAATTTTTATATCATTTTAGATGTCAATCTTTTCAATGCAATCTTACACTTACACTGCTACATTTTTTACACTTCTGAATGCTCTTTTTACATGCACTCTACATGTAAAAATATCTCAGTTAACAATAAATCAATAATGACTTTTAGCTTCGATCTCTAAGCAAAAAAATGACAAATTTCATCTGCCGTGCAGTTGATACAATTTTCTTTACGTCTAGAATGAAAAAAAAGAATAGAAGAGCAGTCTATAAAATGTCAAAAGTAACACTTATTTTGTATGATAAAAAAAAAGAAGAAACGTTGAAAATTTGATATTCGTACAGGTATTTCGTCAAGGTTTGAAGGTAAAAAAATGAGAGAGAACCCAAAAATACTAACATCAACAAAAATTTACTTTTTTTTCTTCTTTTCCAATAATAAACTACTAAAAATTGAAAATGTACCATCAGGTATGTGTAATATAATGATTAAGTGTACTTTTCGTACGGTTATTAATCGTAGAATCTAACGCTAACTCAAGGCTATAATTCAATTTCGTTTAAATATCATATTGAGAAAATTCTGCAGCTAAAAGAAGTTCTATGAGATGTATGGGCAAATAAATGGCATATACTGTGTTCACAGAAATAAGTTCATTAGTATAAACGAATGATTGTGTTCGTTCTACCAAATAATTCATTGTTCGATTAAATATTTTTCAGTATTATTTTTTTAATAGTGCTAGATTATACATACAGTAGAATGTTGACTATCGAATACAGTAGTGAATCGAGTCGGATGATTAATCATGTATTTCGCTAAACTGAACATCAACGAATTTGAATATATGCTCTTTTCATCAGGCATGTGATAGTTTCAACTATGTTTTCTAATAGACTTCTGAGAATGAATTATCACTGAAAACAATGGAAACTAAATAGTTTTCAATAGAAAAAATGTGTTTAAATCTCTTCAAAAAAACATTTTGAAAAGAACAAGACTTTTATTATTTTTCAAGTTCGAAATTTTAAATTTTTAATGTTTTTTTTATTTTAATTTGAAATATGTCGTTTATTTGGAATTCGAATAAGAAAGTGCAATTTTCAGACAGTTTTTTTACAAATGATTCTTTAAAAATCAAGTTTGAACTGTTTTTTGGAGTTTTTATGAGGTAGAATTTTTAGCTGTGCTAGAATGAGATACTACCTGGCAGAAAATGTGACAATGAATAGTTCAAACCTTGATTTCAAATGCCATTTTAGTAGTTTTGCGGCATTTTTACTGATTTTTATCAAATACCTATAAAAGAATTTAATTTAAAACTTTATACTAATCTGATAAACACGAACATCTATTAAGGCACATGTTTTATAAACTGAACGGCCAGATAGAAATATTCGATTCAACAATATAACCAGCATGAAATAAATCTGAGCAAAATCAGAAAAAGAAATGCTGCATCGTTACTGAAATACTATTAGATTTCCCATTAGCCTTGCTTCTATCAAACATGGCTCCATTTATACACACCGTCCTTTTAAACATTGTACTTTCGAACAAACGGGTTTCGTTTTGCGCTCGCACATCGCTTTTATATATCCTTTAATAATTTTCACTGCTATAGTTTTTTGTGTATACTTACTCTCTGTTCATGGTCGAAGTTTTAAACATTTCTTTTTTAAACATTTTCATTAGGCACACGTTGGCATATCGTTGACAATGCGATAGAAAATATTTTTGCCTTATATCGATTGTTGCGGCATATTAAATGACATCAAATAGCACAAAAGCCTCTCTATCAATAAAAAATCTTAAATATCAAAACATATCAAAACATATCACCAAATCGAAAAATTCTTCAGAAAAATTTTTCAATACCGTTTTGCCTTTGGTCCCGAGAGTAACTTTTTTGAAAATTTCTTTTCAAAAGTATTCCGATCCAAAAGTTATTGTCTATCGAGAAAACGAATTTGCAATCAGTTAAGATCGAATTAAGCTTTTAAAATTCATCTATCACGTGATATAAAACAATCTTTTCATGTTAATAAGTACTGTTACAACGTTTTTATAACATGAGAAACCAACGAAAAGAAAAACACACATCTCTTTTAGTTGCTAAGTATGAAGTTAAAAAAGCAATTAGTTCATTTCTAATAGAAAATTGTGAGCAGCGAAACTTCTGATTTTGATGATGATTTGATATTTCCTATTCTTCTGCTTCTTCAGTCATAAACACAAAAGCAACGATTGACAAAAAATAATTTACCTAGTACACTGCTTCTTAAAATACATCATTTATTTCCTGACTTTCTATTCGTTTTTCGTATAATCTGATATGGATAAAATCTAAATGTAAAAGAATAAAGTGATTTAGATTGTTCAACTCATTTTCCTGAATAGTTAAATATAAATGCTGACCTATAAATAGTCATTGTATTCTGTCTAAGTGTGTTCATATTTGAAATAGGAGAACAATTCGTTTCATTATTTAGTTTATATAAAACAACTATTCTCTTTATCGTTCTTGCTGATGACTCATACTACAAAATAGAACAGTGAAAAAAATCCAATTTTCCATATAACTGTTCAATGTCAGTTCAAATACATTCTTTTTTTTTACTGTTCAAATATCAGACATATAAATACACTCAACATCGTAGAAGAAAGTATAAGTTTCTTATTCATTTTTTGTGTTCGTGCAATGTGTAGACATATATGTGTATATGTCTCATATCTACAAACATTATTTCACATAGACACAAAAATAAAAGTAAAGTGAAAAAAGTTTAATCGAAGTGTTTTATGGATAATAATTCTTCTTCAGCCCTTCCTGTCCTTGAACCGCTTAGAAAATATTCATCAAAGGTAAATTGAAAAAGTGATAAGAACTCAGTGGTCAATCATTGAATGCTTTTTTAGATTCCACCTGAACAATCTCATTATGACGGTCGACGTCTATCTTCCCCACCACCAAATGATATCAATAAGTTATACGTTAATTCCTTTCCTCAATATGATCCAGATGTGACATATGACGGGTATGATTTGACGAAAGATCTCACCCAATATCAATTTGGCGATGAACGACCAGAATCAGTAAAATCGGTGAGATTTTATTAATTTGTCCATTTTATTTTCTTGTCACATTGAAAAAGAACCTAACTCAGCAGCAACTGCGTTGAAGCCCACCGAGAATATCCTACAAAAGTGTCCCTAATCTGACAGATATACTAAACATACATGTTATTAAAAAAACATACATACATACTTTGAAAGAAGGACTATTTTCGTTAAATTCTATTCCAGAATTTCTCGGCATCTTGCTTAGAAGATTTCTAAATAGTACATTCTGGCTGAGTTTGAATTTTTGAGTAATTCTTTCTGTGCGATAAAATATTTAGTTTAGCAAAATTATTGTAAAATCTTGTTTTAGGATGTCACTAAAAATGATGTGAGAAAGAAAAAGAAGAAAAAAATCGATGATCAAGGTGTCGATAAAAACGGACGAGAACAATGGTCTGGTAGATTCGATTTCTTCTTTTCCTCTCTCGGCTATGCTGTTGGCCTCGGTGAGTTACGCTAATCTAATTACTTTGAACAATTACTTAAAAACAATTTTATCCGTTTAGGTGCTGTATGGCGTTTTCCTTATCTGTGCTATCGAAATGGAGGGGGTAAACGAGATGATGTGATTAAATTCATTAGAATAATAGATGTTTTACCTGTTTAGGTGTCTTTTTAATACCCTATTTCATATTTTTGTTTCTAATTGGAATTCCATTATTTTTTCTCGAATTGAATCTCGGTCAGTACACATCTCAAGGTGCTTTTCAATGTTGGCGTATGGCACCCATTTTTAAAGGTATGTTATTTCATAGTACAATAATGTTACTGACAAAGATATGTTTAGGAATTGGTATTTCAATGTGTTTAATGTCATTTTTTCTGTGTGTTTACTACACAATGTTAATTGCTTATTCAATCTTATATTTGGTTCTCTCATTTCGATCCAATCTCGCTTGGTCAAAATGTGGATCGTGGTCTAGTTCTAGTATGTCAATAAATTTATCACTTGACTCATTGTTATCATTTATACATTTCTAGACTGTACTGATGACTATACCAGATTCATAATGCGATGTGATTTTGAGAATACGTATCGAGATCCAAATGGAAGATGTTATTCGTGGGGTGATCAAGGATTGTATCAAATTGGTTGGTGGAATTTGCAAAGTCGTTTACTCGATCGAAAACCAGTATTACCATCCGACGACTATTTCAAGTAGGCGCATTTGGCATAAACGAATTGATATTTTCAAGAACCTGATATGTACGAATTGATATGTTCAAGAACCACATATTGAACTTATTCAGAATAAATGTACTGTGGATACTGTCGTCGAACAAGGGAAAGGTCCCCAAGTGTTCGATCGCTTTTTGAATATAGTATTGTAGATATATGTAATCGATGATGCTGATTCCGAACATCACGATGGAAACGGCATATGGATCTTTGAAGTCTTATTTCTAGAAAATAGGATCTCAAGATTCACAACCTTTTTTAGCGAGGAATCGATTTGACCATGTCAGTTTATAGAGTACGTCGAATTATTTATACGAAAAAATTTTCTCTACTATTGAATAAGCTTTAGCGAAGTTATAATGGTTTAGGTTTGAAACATTAGTATAATGTGCAGAACTGGACCGCGACAAACGAACGTCTGAATAAAAGCAAAAAGTATTCATCTAAAACGTGAAAATCGATGCAAACTAGTTCTAACAGAGCAAATATGACAGTTTCTCTTGCGAAGATACTTTGTTCTGTTTTAATCATTTGTTTTCTCATGCCTCCGAAACTCATTTTTTGGCATCACTAGAATTTCACGTATTTCTTGACCTAAATATAACTCTACTGAACTAGCATATAACTCTGCTGAAGTATATTCAATAAGTGGTGAAAACTTTTTCATATAAGTAATTTGACGTACCCTATAAACGGGCATGATCAAAAGCGAATCCTGGCTAAAACAGCTTGCGAATCTCGAGATCCTGTTTTCTAGAAACCAGACTTCAAAGCTTCATATGCCATTTCCATCATGATATTCGAAATCAACATCATCGATTACATATATCTACATATGCTATATTCAAAAAGCGATCGGACATCTAGGAACCTTCTCTCGTAACTCAGCTTGATGAAAAAATGATAAATGAAATATTTGACAAAAAGTACTGTCACATAATTCACAAAGCGAAAGAAACTTTTAGTCAAGTTGAAGAACAAATCTTTTTCTATATACTAAATTTACAGCTGTTGCCATCCGTATTGACATAAAACTACCGGATTCTGGTCCATTTCAGTAATTATATCTTGAACAAATCGCCTGGAATCGACTATACATCAACTGTTGAATGGCCATTAGCCGTCTCACTCCTGGCAGCATGGACTTTAGTCTTCATTTGTTTAATTCGTGGAATTAAAAGTTCCGGCAAAGTAAGATAAAAGTCATATTTCTCTTATTATTACCAAGATTTTGTTAAACAGACCGTCTATTCCAGCTAACCATCTACGTATGTATTAGACATGCATGTTGCATTATACGATCTGGCTGCTTTCTCCCATCTGTGACGATTAAAATATCTTTTATGATTTTGATTCAGCTGTATCACACTTACCATCACGGGGTTGCACTGCGTTCAAATTTACTTGGTACTTAAAATTATTAATTGATGCCCCATCATTTAGGTAGTTTATTTCACGGCAGTGTTTCCATATGTTATTTTGTTAATACTTGGTATTAGAGGATGGACATTACCTGGTGCCTCCAAAGGAATTGAATTTTACATGAAACCTGTAGTTAGCAAATTGTTGGACGCTCGAGTAAATGAAGTAAATCTATGGTTTTATAGGTGTTTTTAAACCATTGGTTTTTCAGGTATGGAATGATGCTGCTAATCAAATCTTTTTCGTCTTATCCGTAAGTTATGGTGGCCTAATAACATTATCAAGTTACAATCGTTTTAATCAGAATACTCTAAGGTAGAGTAAAATTCATCTAGATAGAAAAAAATTATTATAGTTTTTTATTTTTGTTTTGTTTTTGAGTAATACACTAATAATCACTCTTGCCAATGTGGCAACATCGATATTTGCTGGTTTTGTTATTTTTGCCTATTTGGGCTATCTTGCCTATATGACAGGTCAAAATGTTACAAATGTTGTATCAGAGGGTATGTAAAATTAATTCTGATAACGCAGTAAATAACAGAAACTGTAAATTTCAGGACCTGGACTAGCTTTTATTGTATATCCATTCGCTGTGACAACTTTACCAGCAGCACCTCTATGGTCAATATTATTTTTTCTTATGCTAATAACGTTAGGACTTGACTCTGTGGTAAATATTCGCATACAAAAATGATTAACGTCTTAATTCGCTTACTTTTGCTTCTTTTTTTTTTTGAATAGTTTGCATTTGTTGAAACAATTACAACCGTAATAACAGATCAATTTAATTCATTGAGACGACACAGAACTATTGTGACATTTGTTGCATGTGTATCGATGTTCGCTCTGGGATTAGTTTTATGTACAGATGTAAGTTGTTATTGTTGGTGTTTTTGTGTTTTTTTTATTTATGAATAACAATTAACGCAAATTTTATCATACAGGCTGGAATATATTGGCTTGAATTGCTCGATCGATTCACCGGTGCTTGGACTGCGTTGATAATTGGACTGCTTGAGTGTGTTTGTATTGCCTACGTCTATGGTAAACTTTTATTATACTGATAGTTTAGTCAAATTTGAATAACGTCTCCATCGTTTAGGAAGCAACAATTTTCGATCTGACATCAAAGCGATGCTTGGACGAAATCATCTAGCTGTGAAAACATACAGAATATTCCAATTTTGTTGGCTACTTGTAACACCTGGTCTTATTATTGTTCGTATTAATTTTATCTTTGAGCTATCACAACTATAGTACTGCTATTATTTTAGGCACTTATTATTCTTACATTTATCTGGTATCCACGTCTCCAATTGGGTCCATACATCTTTCCAAAATGGGCAAATAATATTGGCTGGGGTCTCTCGGGACTCATTATGTCGGGTGTTGTATTATGGGCTTTATATTCAATATTCGCCGTATTTTTCATACATCGAAAGGTATTAAAACATGATCCACTATCATCCCTAATTCACTTCTTATATTTCTATTATTTAGCCGTTCAGCTCTCTTTTTACACCAGAACCTGAGTGGGGTCCACTTCTTCCTCAAAATCGAAAAAAAATGAAGCACTATGGTAGTCAGACGAGTGGATTCTACAATATAGTTGACTGGGTTAAAAATCGATCAAAGGTAAGTCTTTTCCCAAATATCATTAGATAAATATTATTAGTTTTTCAAAACCTATATGTTCATTATGAGAGACCTGTTTTCATTTAGAATAAGTTAAGGTAAGAGAGTTTGTGCTTTGCTCATCAAGCGTTCGCGAATATATATTGCTAAATCAAATAAAAAATATTCTAAGTTGATGTGCTTTGGCTTTTGTCCTTGAAATAAAAAACCATAAAAATAAGTCTTGATTATCATCTAATTTTGTGTTATTTAGAGTGGCGACTCCAATCGATCAGGAGACGAATCATCTGTCTAGATATGGCACACATCCAGTATAACTGTTAATATCAAAACTTTTTTGTATATTAGTATTGTATATAAATAAATTTAATAATCAAACAAGAAAAGTAATAAGATAGAAAATAATATCCAAATTCTACATTGAAATCTCACATCAGTACTTCTTAAAATCAATTTAACTTTAATATTTTTGTATCATAGGTATAAATAAGGTGTATGGTGTCTTCTTTCGAAAAAAAAGCAACATAATTTTGCTAACTTGATGTATAGCATAATTAGTCGAGTCATTTCTATAACTTTAATTATTATAAGTGAATTTACTTCCGAAGTTGACTTTAGAATACAATATAACATCGGGGACAATCGTTCGCTAAGTAAATCTATGGGCGATTCCAGCGAGGGAAAATACATCGCCTTTCGGCTACCGTTATCGGTATAGGATGCTGCTGAACCAGAGGTGGGCAAGTCCGACCATTTCCAAGTCCAAGCCGAAGTTCTTCATAGCAGTTTCTGTACTACAGAGTACACGATAATCATATGTGACGGGTAAATAAATTTTATCCATACATTGATGTATGTTTGACAAAAAAAAAGATTAATAGATTAGGTATCAGATTATACTCATTCCATTGTTGAATGTAAAAGATTTTAACTCCTTGGACTTCCTTGGAGAGAAAGGGAGATATTAAAAAAAACACCCAAAGAAATCACTAGTCTGAAGTTGTTATGTAACTGTTGATTCTTTGGGTGGTACCCATCTTTTGTCTCCCCATAGCGTTTCAATAATCTTTTTTTTATTAACTTTAATAAGTTTTTTTATCTGTTGTTATTATTTTAGAGATAGGTATTTGAGCGTCGGTGGATTTATATTTCTTTACATAAATCCGTCGATAGGATGCCAGTTTTATGAACCTTGGGAAACTCATACATCCTTCCTGGACTAGAACCGGGCGGTGTGATTAAATTACTGAACTCATCACTGATATGATCCTGTTTACGGAGACGACGTAGTAAATTTCTGAAACTGTTTTCTCGAAAAATAATCGGATTTGCATATAATGACTGAAATTTTGTCTTATCATCAAGTATATTAAATGCATTTTGTCCACATAATCGATTCTATGCATTACAGCAAATGCCTTGGTCCCTATCGAATCGGGTAACGACTATCGATTTATCTATACGTAATTTCTCATTATTTATTCATACTTTATACTTTGATTCGCTTCTTGTTGTTCACTTCTCTTCCACATCTGCTCGGATTTTTGTTGCGAGATTCAATTCATTCGAGTTCAAGACGTGAAGACCTTTGTCGACGTTCTGATCGTTTTCGTATAAATCTGTATCAGTTTTTGTGATTTTTATACACATCTGTGACCTGGTGGAGAAAATGTTCGACATTACGCACTAATTTCAACTCATCAGTATGTCGAAGAATCAAACCAAGCCTTTTGCTAGACAATTGAGCTCGTCATTAGCTAATGAGCTCATCGAAAGATTTGTGACAACATGTTTATTCACATCTATGGCCTTGTCTTTTGTATTAGATGCATTCCAATGAAATTTCTTTATTTGTACGCTTCGGTTCTTGTTAAATTTAACATTCGTGAATGATAAAACAATTTGGATCATACGTTTATAGAGTAAATTAGAGACCGAGTCTTTGAGTATATTCATATTGTTTGTCTAAACGAACTACATGTTTATATTTGAATTCAATTTCTTCGTGCAGCAAACGATGCTGACTTTCTCTGTATGCTTTACTTGATAATAGTCATTTATAAGATGTTTTATACCACGTGGCACGATGTCTTTTGAACGATGGTTTTCTAGTATGTCTCTCTCGCTCGTTCGAGATATTAAAAAATTGAATAAACAAGAATACATGTAGGAACATAGTAGAATTCTGCTTATTTTCCTTTTTCGCTCCTTTCATCGTGTATTGTAGTATATATATATATATCTATATATATAAAGAAGAAAGTTTGTTTGTTTGTTCTCTATGCATTCAGTCCCTGTAAGAGCTAAAGCAGCCAAAATCTGCATGGCATACCCTTGGGTCCAGAGGAAGGTCAAGAGGGGGTCGGCGAGACCGAAGGAAGGGGGGGAGAGCTCCCGCCAGTTTTCAAAAAATGGTTGAAAGATTTTCGGATTTTTATGTTCTCCGATTTCTGAGGTACTTGCATCTTGCTTTTATATCTTCGCACTGCCCTTGGTCAAGGGCTACTTTTCAATATAAAACTTT